GGAACCGAATCCTGCCCACAAGTATTCGCATGACTTTCAAAGTGAATCCTTCCCCAGTTGAGCCTTCGGATGAGACACAGCCCTGGCTCACACCTTCTGTGAGGTCTTGTGAGAAACTCAGGAGCAGGGCCCCCAGCTATACAATGCCTAGGTTTCCAACCCACAGAAACTGGGAGATAATAAGTGTGTGCTGCCTCAAGCTGCTAAGTTTACAGTAACTTGCTACACAGTAAAAGGAAGTGAACACCGAAGTGTGTACGAAGTAGTAATAAAACCATCACTCACTGTGGGCGAACTAAACCTTGTTGCTAAATGCTCTATTAACTCATTTAACCTTCACAGTGATGGGAGGGGGTATGTCTGCTACTACTGCCCTCATTTCAGAGACGATAGAGCAAGAGATTATACATCTTGGAAGTAGAGGGGCAGGGCACGAACCCCGATCCCCCCACTACATAGCCTTCGGCGACCCCACTGCACAGGGCTGCCTCTGAGGTTAAAAGGGTCCCCTATCAGTGCAAGTACCTGACACAGACCAAAAAATCCAAGAGAGCTTCCCTTCTCTCCCTCTCCTCGTTACTCCTTTCCTGACACAGAGGCAGGTTGTGGCTTAAACTTGATGCCTCAAGGGCTGCCTTCCCTGGTTTGCCCACATTCTCACCCTAACACTTCCAGCAAGAGGGGGGGGGGGGGGGGAGAGCACCTTTCTCCCCATTTTTTTCCACCAAACACGCTGCCGGCTCCTGTTCCCTCAATTCTCTAATTGGATGGACGATCTACACCAGCATGGAAGTGGGAAACAGTGGGATGCGTCACCTCCTCCTAGAAACACAGCGCCTGTCCCAGCCAACGGACTCCAAATGGGTCCTTGAGGCACGGGCACAGGGATGCCTTCGGTGGGAAACAGTCTCCGTCACGCGATGATCGAGTAAGACATCCGCAGTGTTTCACACAGAACCCACTTCTGGGTCAGCTGTGCGCCCCTCACGCGTCCCATGCGCAGGCTCTCCGCCTGACAGAGGCAGCCACCTGTGCAGATGGCTCTGCTGAGACACAGCAGATCTCTGTGAACGAGACCGTGTTTCCAAGCCAGTAGCCTCACAATCAAGATGAACCCCAAGAAAGAGCACTTATCAATGTAACCATTATCTGTCCATTTGCTGTTCAAGGTTATCCCCAATCTGATGCATAGCCTACGATCAGAAGGAGATGCGGGACCTGCACACTTATTTCCTCTGCTTCATCTCATCTCCAGGAAGCCCAACGCAGAACAATGGCTGGGATTTTTTAAACGCTAGTGACTGTGGACTAGAATGCAAGATGCTATGCGTCCTGCAAATATAAGGTAATTTTGCAAACGTCTAAAGGCATGGGTTTCATTAAAAGAACACATTTCCTGGTATACAGATGTGCCACAAGCAAACTCAATCTTGCATCTCCTACACTTAGACAGAAGGACATTTTTAAAGCTCAGTTAAAATTTAATTGGCCGCTCTGACCTTGAGTGCCACTTTAGGTGAAAAAAATCACTCCGGTGCTCAGACTTCCTTGAGATTTATGATCTCATGTTCTTGAAAAAGGCCCAGCACCTCCGTGTTCCTGAAATAATTGATCTGTCTCTTCTAAGTGGTATTTTCCTGAGTCTAACATCTGATGTCTCAGGAAGAAAAGTACAAACTGATGAAAATACCTCGCTATATTTAAAAAATCCAAAAGAGCGACCAGCATTTGCATCTACCACATTATTACATTTACAAAAAAACAGCCAAGATCATAAACTGGTAAATGTCTTAGCACAGAAGACAAGGAAGTGGAAAACAAACTGCAAAACCACAGGCAAATATTGTTTATAATGATTAACCACCATTATTAATAAAGAGCAAATGTTGTAAATGTGCTAACGAGACACACTGCAAATCTATAATTCATATCTTTCTCGGCTTGAAAAGAACTCCACAATGCACTAACTTTTTGAACCGAGCAGTTTTCCTTCCTTTTCTTCTTTATTGCAATCACAAATACTACTAACTTCACCCAAAACTCCGGACCAACAACGTTACTGGTTCCTCTACTTAAAAAAAAAAAAAAAATGCCACAGAGGCCATAAGACAAGTAGAGAGAAAGGGCCAATCTGAAAATAGCTGTGACTGTGTAACCTCGAGCTTCCATGGAAATGCAGCATGACATTCTGGGTCTGTTTGAAAAGAAATAACTGGCAAGTGTTACTGGTTCCCCTACATGTGATGGAACGTCCAATATGAAATAATATGCTCTACCTCAGTGTTTCCCAAAGTGTGGTACGCGTACCCCCAGGGATATGGGAAGAGTTTGGTGGGGGTACGCGTTGCACCAGAGTTTGGTGGGGATATGCACTGTACCGTGCTTAGCTGCGCCTAATTCTACGTTCTCATGAGTACGAGGGGTACTCAGCGTTACGAAAATTATAGAAGGGATACACATATGTCAAAAGTTTGGGAAACACGGCTCTACCTCAAAGCGTCTATAAGAATCGTCACCTCTTAGAACTGACTGCATACGTGGCACCGTTGCCAGTACTTTCACGTACTAGCTCCTGTCATGCTCGCAACAGCTCTGTAAGGAAGGTTCTGTCACTAGTCTCCTTTGACAAAAGAGGAAGCTACAGCAGAGAGATGACACAAGTTGCCTAAGATCAACTGCAATCAACAGCAAAGGTGGGTCACCGGCCCAGACAATGTGGCTAGGAGCCAGGCTTCCTACAACTGGATTATTCCATGTTGCCCAAGAGGCAAGGCATGCAGAACGATTCTACTCCCTCCTCCACTCAGTGGGGAATATGTATTAGGAACCTCCTACACAACAAGTTCTTGTCCACACAAAAGGTTCCCAGAGAAGACCCGCCATTTACCTTTGAAACGGCTCCGAAACCGATCTGGTGCAGTGGTTCCATCTGATCCCCAACCTGTCTCATCACTCTTTTCTACAACACCCCCCATGAGGCCCAGCATGCAGTCTGGCTATTTGCTCTTGGAGAAGACCACAGAATTAGCTGAAGATAGCTTAGAGGAACGTCCAAGAAAGGCTGGCACAGAAAACAATGCCCTTCGTTTGCCAGTCCCTCGTTTAGACATCTCGGGAGTCACAGCTGAAGGGATGCCAAACAGCAGTCACCTGGTGACTGACGCAAAGCAAGGCTGTTAGCGAGCAGGGTTAGCTCTGAACAAGGCTTTGCAACTTGCGACAAAAAGAAGCAAAGACAGCAAAGACTCTAGCACACACATTCAAGGCTGACGTCAGAAGCCACCTTCGGGGAGAAGTAGCTGCCATCACATTAGGAGCTGTAACGCAAAAGGCCATCGACTACTTGCTCTTTTTAAAAAAGTCCAACAATGAGAAAACACTCATATATTTATTACACCTACTAGAAAGATCTCAGATAGACAGACAGACATATAGATATATAAAATCACAAGCATAACATATAATACTACGTCTTTTGTATTTCTAAGTCTAATCTTCATCAAGTCTTTGACCTTTGGACAAATTTTTGGACAAACAGGAATAACTGAAGAGTGATAACCTCTACGAAGCCATCACCGTTAGAAAAGAGGAGGATAAACTATTTCATGATGAGTCCACTTTGTCATATTTATCATCTGTGAATTCACTTTAGACATTCCTTTAAATCATCTAAGCCTTAAAATTCAGGGCTCCTAAAATTTGGGGCTATCCATTGTTAATAGTCAAACGTATTCTTACAGATAGAATACACAAAACAAAAAATGCATTTCTCTGTGGGGGAGAGGGGTAGACTAAATGAAAAATCCAGAAGAGAAAATATTTTTAAAATAACATTTATAAAGGTTAATTTTTTTGAAACATTTTTTAATTCACACAAAATAAGGAAAATATTCTGCTCACAGTCTTACGCTCCTCCTAAACAGAAGTAACCTCGACACATGACTGCAGAATCCTCTGGAAAGGGTAGTAACATCCTGAGAAAGTTAGAACTATTCAGAGTCCACCAGAACCCCTATTTTTTTTTTTTTTTTTTTTATGGCCTCAATTGTGTTCTGAGGTTAAACCGACTGGAACGGATCTCGGCAAGTCCGTGAGGCAATTTCTAACTGGAGGCAACAAAGCCCCATAAATCCTGTCACACAGTTCACAAGCTGGCGTGGCTGCCTCGGGTGTGGCTGCGTTAAAAGTTAGAAAGCTTTGAAAACTAAACTCGACAACGAGGCCAACACCGGTGATGAGGCGAAAACCAAACCCATGATCCGGATTCTGTCCCAGCAAGACTCTCCTTTCATGTCCCACCTGGTTCATTACCAAGTTCATGGAGTTGGGATCCTTGAGCCACGAACGCCTTTCCCCCACAACACACTGTGGCCACGTAGGTAGCTGGTCTTGGGTAAGTAAACCGTGGAAGGCGTTGCTTAATGGACGGTGAAGTAATTGCCCTACAATAAGGACGGGGCCGACCTCATCACATGACATGGAAAACAACCGCGCGTTCCCTGCAGCCAGAGTCCTTCCGTTCCCTCTTCATTTGGAAACGAGTTTACACGCAGGACGAAGGAAAGCATGTTTCCAAACCGGGAGGGTACTGAACCACTCCATTTTATGGGCCCTCCATCCCAGTAGAAAATGCTCATTTTTAAGCCCGTTTGCTGGTTGGTTTCTTCCCTGATTTTTTTTTGGGGGGGGGAGAACGGGCAGGGGGGTGCTGGATACACTGGCATTAACCAGGCCCCCTGAGGCTGTTCAGTAAAGCGAATAACTGGCTTGGGTGCTGATCGGGGAAAGAGTGTTCCTGAAGGTTACTCACCACGGGACCCTGGCCAAGGTGGCACCATCGGGTGAATGATTGACATATGAAATGCTGACTCCTGGTCACACATTACATACCAACCTGCTGGGACCAGGGGCCAACGCGCTGCCTGACTTTCTACCGCCACCCCCAGAGACACTGCTAGTCACTCGCTATGTCACAATCAGACACGTGCAACCAAACGCACCTGCATCCACCTGCCGGGAGGTTCTCCGCAGCCCATTGGTCCGTTTCTGTCAGAAAGACAAAACAAAGAGTTGGTGTTAGTGAAGCACGCTCCTCTGAGAAGCCTTAAAAAGTAAATTGCTCAAAATCAATAAAAGTGTTACGTTGCATTTCAAGGATGGATATCTACGGGTGTGTTATCCTACTATCTCAAACGTATGTTTAAAATTTTTCATTAAAAAAAAATTTAACTGAATAAATTGGTTTTTAAAATGTATTACTTTCTGACACTTTGGAAAGCCAGTGAATGGTGGCCTTGTTCCAGGAAAAGGTGTGACTAAATTGAATGCACACATTGGGTTCTAAAGCTTGTTTTGATAGTTTAACCTTTTTGTTTCTCCAAGGTTTCCACCTGAACACCCCTCCACTGGCTTTGTTAATACTTGTAAGACTGGGGGAAAGAAGGATGCTTCTATTTGCCATCTCTGGGTGTGAGTGCTCATTTCTCTGAAGTCAGAATGGCTACAGGAGTGATGAGAGCGAAGCCTTGGCAGCCCAGCGCGGTCGGAACATGCTCCCAGTAAAAAACGCTAACTTGGCGATTTCTGAGGCCCGACAGACCAGCACCTGGAGAAGATATAGCTCCAAAGACCTCACGTGCTGACCTTAGCAAACACTTAAACGAGGATGGTATTTTAACTGAGGGTCAGCTATATCTTAATTCTTCAAGAAACAAAACAGGCATGCAGCCTGTGAACCAGAAAAGCCCATTTTGATGAGAGAAAAGGAATCCATAAGAAAAACTGTGCATTGCAAAGATTACAGATGAGATGCAAAACGGAAGGTTTGAAAGCTTTGAAAATGCACAGGAACAAATTCGATTCCATATTGAACTTGTCCTACCTAATAACCATGGTAACCCCTCGGATTAAAAAGGGCTCAGTTTCGCTTTGTATTACACATCTGGGTGAAAGGCTGGGCCTATAAAGCCCACGTCCTTCGATTTTCAAGCTGCAGTTCTTCCCCCGTGTGCTGAGGACTGTGCCTGCGTAGACTGCGCTCCATTCGGGGCGCACCCAGCTTTCTCAGCACACACTAGCCATGGGTTTCTCCTTGGGTTCCTCCTGTTGTTTCCTTTCATGAGTTAAATGGGGGAAATGGGCCCCCACAGATGCCAGGGTAAGCAGACGTTCAGAGTCCTCAGGTGAAAGCCGATTGGAGAAATCTTTTACATATAACTTTTTCAAAAGGAATTTGTGAAAAGGCCCATGGGAATCATGACCATCAGCACTGAAGCCCGGGCCAACAAGATGGATATCTATACTGGACAGACGAGTCAGGGAGAGAGCCGCTGGGAGTGAGAAGTCAGTGTAGTCCCAGCCATCTGGTCAACCAGGCACAAAAGAGAAGCTTGGTGAGTCATAGAGTCACATGCAATCATTTGGAAGAAAGCTGCTTTCAAAGAAAGACACTTCTATGCCTGAAATTTTATGTTAAATGTTTTTGGAGTTCTCTTTGTAAGTGAGCAATATTTTCTATATAATGACAATATTTTCTATATAATGGTGGATATTTCGTTGTTCGTTATAATGATGGATATTTTGTTGGCAGTGACTTCCTGCATAGTCCTCCTTCTTCATGCAGAACAGGAGCCTGTCTTCCTATTGCTCTCACACCATCTACTCTCAAAGGGCTTGGAAGGCAAAAAAGGAATTCAACCTTTGCTCCTTACTCCTAGAATCCCTAAACCAGTACTACTGAAAAACTATCCACTTAGAATGTGAAAAAGAACATTCGATTTCAAGAGTAACTCCACGTTACCTTAGAAATTAGGATGAAAATTTGGAACACAGTGCAATTTTTAAGAGTATTAATTGTAGCATCAGACTGCCCAAGTTCAAATTCAGACCACCAGGCACCCGTTAGATCATGAGTTAGTTAATGTCTTGGTGCCTGTCTGGATCCCTAATCTCCAAAGGGGATTGTACCTCCATGGGGGGTAATAATAGTGCCTGCTTCATAGCATGTGTGGTGAAAATTAAGTGAGTTAATTTATGTTAAGTGCTTGGAACAGTTCCTGACACATAGCAAGGATTATTAAGTAAGGGCTTATTATTATTATTATTATTGTCCTTATTAACTTAATGGTGTTTGGAATGTTTAAATTCATATAAAGGACACATTCTTCTGCTAAAGTTACTGCCCTACTGCTTAGGTTTTAGGTTCTTCTTCCAGAAAATCACTGAAAAACCAGTGACCTTGAGAACAGAAACTTCTCTACAGCGAGAGTGGGAAATGGAACAGATCTGGCCAATTTAAAAAAAAAAAAAAAAAAAAAAAAGAGGAAATTTCAGCTCAGAATAAGTGCATTTAGAGAGGCTGAGATTTATTATACTTGAAAAGCACCTAAAAAGTCTTTTGTTGGGAAATGTTTAGCAGAGCATATGTAAGCACACTCCACTCCCCTGCCTGCATTCTTAAAAGCCTGGTACCGCACTGGCGTTGACCTTGTCCCCAGCAGGGCCTGGTGGGCTTGGAGCTCGGTAAGGCCCCAGGGAATCAGGAGGGGCCGCCTTCAGAGCCTCCTCCACCCCCTTCCACCTACCTGGGAGGGGCAGGGGAGATACAACAACCAAAGAACCTCCTTTTATTTCTTGATGCATCACTTTTTACCTTGTCTCTCTCTCTAAAGAAATATTTTGATCCTCTAAGACTCTCTCTTCTTGCCTCTTTTTGGACACACCTAATCCTGTTGGTTTTACCAACAAAGCAAGCATGGGTTCATTGGCTCTAAGGAAATGGCTTTGGTTCCTCCCTCTGTGTTGAAGGCAGAACGCCCTGCGTGAGGGAACAGATTGAAAGCAGGTGACTGGGAAGCAGGTATGCAATGACGGCCTGGCTTCCTGGGGCTGAGGTGCCTCTGGAGCCCATGCTGGAATGGGACGTGAGGTGCACATTCCGGGGGAGGCTGAGGAGGCCCAGGGGGCCTGTGGCTTCTGGAACCCGGCCCACCTTGACAAGGAGGGAGAACATGAACAGTAAATAGTGTGATCGTGGCTCTGGAAAGGGAAACCACATAGGACTACAAGCAGGTCCATGGAGGGAAAGGAGAACTTCATGAGGGGGGAAAGCAATAAGAGCCCCAGAGCTCACAGAGGCCTTCATCCTTCCGTTCAGGGAAGACTCCCGGACATCATAGCAGCAGCAGTCGCGGGGCGGGGAGGACGGAGTGAAAGACACTTCCTACCATCCGATTCTCCCTTAAATCGAGCTCAAGTTCCCGGAGAAATGAGCCAGTATAAGAGCTTGCTGTAATTACCCATCCAAAGTAGAGATGGGACTAGCATATTCACACAGGAAATAAAAATTGCATGTATTATATTCAAAAGTTAATAAGCAAGTTGCCAAAAAACCGACGCTACATTTTCAAAAACTCAACATGAAAATGAATAGCCTCATGTGTAACTTTTAAGAACACACACACACACCAAAAACAAACAAACAAACAAACAAATGCCCAGAGAGAGCTGTTTAGCAGCCTGTGAAAACTATGAACTACTTCTCCTCTGCACACTTCCTTTCTTGGCAAAACTTGAATCAAATCAAGTGGAATGACCTTCCCAGAAAAGTAATGTCTGTATCCAACAGGATCGAGGTAAAGTAGCCCTGAGATGAAGCCCAGGGTCTGCAAGGTTTCAAAACCTGTACCAACAGCCTTGACACCAGCCTGCGAGGGGGAGAAGGGGACGGCTCTCCTAGGTCTGCATGGCGCCTCTGGAGCAATCCTCACGGTCCTGATGGCAATCTCACCTGTCAGCTACACACTAAATTCCTCAGTAACTCGTTTTCCCCTGGGGCACCCCATGTGGCCCATGTCAGAACCAGTACTATCTTGTTCAACCCATCCCCTCGATCTAGAGTCTAAAATACCGTGTGAACATGGAAGAGGCACACCTGAATGTCCACGTCACACTCTTGTTATCCTGGATGAAAAAAAGGTCGAGCTTTTGCAAAAAAGAAAAGCAGAAAATAGCTTACCTCCTATGGATATCTTGCGGTACTTTTCATTATTTTTACCAACCATATGAAGACCAGCCTATTAAATGCATAAGACTGTGACAGCACTCTTAATGAGATGAAACTGTGTTAAAATAATCTGGCCTGGCATGTTTCTGTCATTCTTTTATTCTGAATTTCTCTGATCATGTATTTCAGGTTCACATCCCATCACACACAGTTTCTATTTAATTTTCTTTGCTAGGACATTATTTGGAGGAGGTCGGGTACGAAATGGGTTACTTTGGGTTGAAGGCCACGGCCATGGCTGCCTGGAACTGGCCATGTTTTTCAATCTTTCTTTTTTTTTAATGGCTTCATTCCAAGGGGTGACAGGGATCACAGTGCTAAGCCATCCAACGTGAGGTTGCATTAAACCCAAATCTTGACTGGATCCATATGAACCATGTCTGTGTTCCAATGTACAAGCACATCCCTAGTGGCCGACACTGGAACCTCCGAGCCAGGGAACACCCGGCAGCCACAGGCTGCATGACAGCGACAGGCCCCAGCCTCCCGGCAGGAGGCCACCTTCCTTCTGTACAGACAGGGCCAGCCTCCTCCTGCCAAGGCAATGCCTCCGGGGGCACTGCCTGTCCTAAACTTCTGGGTCTGTGGCATTCCGTGGCGGGGGAATGCACCCACCCATTAATGCCACAGCATTGAAATTCACCTGGACCAGTAAGATTCTGCAAGTTCCAGTTCACACCAGACTTAAGTTAACCATCCCCCTTTTCCCTCCAGCGAGACTTCCCGCGGATGACTGTGAACGCACCTCTGACTGAACCCCGAGTTTCACTCACACGCTCTGGCTTGCTCCCTGGCTGTTTCCTTCCACTCTCAGAGGCACACGTAACAGGCCAAAAGCTCACCACGCCTGTTAGCAAGCGACCCCACGTGCAAACGTGACCTGGGAAGGCAGAAAGGTTCCTCTTACCTCTGGCGCCTTGAGCGTCCCGGGTTCTGAAAGAAAGGTAAAGATGGGCATTGTCAGTGCACAGTGTCCCGTGTGGTCAGCAGCCTCCGTGGGCCGTGTGCAGCCGGTCACACGCTCGGCTCCACCGCCCTGCCCGGTACCTGCAATCACTTTCCAGGGTCCCTCGGGCTGGGCTGGGGATTGTTTTGCAACACCGGTGCCCTGGCCCTATTGGCTGCCGGGAGGGTGACTCATTACCCATAGCTTTTTCAAACTGCTTGTGGAGCAATGTCAGTCCAACCCCATAAAGCTCCTGGAAGCGGCGGCTTGCACTAAATGTACATGCAGGGAGAAAGCGGGGTGGGAACTTTCAACACGCCTGGTTTTAAGAACCTCCACACACCAAGTGACAAAGGCGCTATGCTATTTGCAGGCATTGCACACTGAACACAGGTCAATGCTGAGTGTCATTCTTTTTTGCATTAAGTGGCTGCAGCACGTACTTTTAATTTCAAGGGGGTGGGGAACGCATTTCGCTTTAAAGAGGGAAATAAAATAATAAAAAAAAAAACGGAGGGCTGGATTCCGATCGGCTTGTCCTCTCCCCCCGCAGTGGACCTGTCTATGTATAAAACCATGACGTCCGCTCCATGTTAGTTCCTGAAAACGACCCGCAGGTACACAGGGCCCGGGCTTCAGGTGAGCGGAGAGCAAAGGAAAGCAGAGGGGGCCCCCTGTAATGAGAGGCTCCGGCTGCACTGGGAGGCCGGTGGGGCTGTTTGCTCCTTCCCCCACCCCCAGGGGCGCCCGGGCAGGTCCCAACGCCTCTGCTGCAAAGGCAAACACCTCGCCGTCCTCGCCTCTGCCTGTGCTTTTCCCACCGACACGATCCTCTAGAGGAGGACTGGAAAAGGAGAAGGAAAGAGAAAAAGAAACCGAGGGGAAAGTCAGGGAGAAGGGGGAAAGCCTTGGTGGGAGCTCTGCGGGCCGGGGAGCCCCCCCGAACAGAGGTCAGGGGTGCCCCGTCCTTTAGAGCCCACCCGGCGGCCACAGTTGTGCACACAGAGTGACCGCCTGGGGCAGGGAGCGGGAGGTTTGCTCCGGTTTTGTTTTCATTTGAAGGACTGGCTGCTCCTGATTCGTGGAAAGGAAACCCACAGGCGAAAAGTCACCTTTCTGAGAAAAGCTGCGTCTGCATTCCTGGACGCGCTTTCCAAGCCCATCACCCCGGCTTCACGGGCAGCGGTCAGGGGTGGGGAGGCCTCTGCCCGGGATTCCTGGGCGGGAAACGACTCCACTCCTCATCCTCCCTCTAGACACAGGCCAGCCGGGAGGGCGGGCCGGGAGAGGCTGGCTGGGGAGAGGGTCTGGCTGGATGCCGGGCCCAGGGCGAGGTGACCTCGGGTCCTAACAGCAGCCGTAATACCTGCCTCACTGGTTCAACCAAAAAGACCTATCTGCCCAGACAGCTCTGAGCTCCTTTCTCCTCCAGCCAGGGAGGCAGAGTGAGCCAGCAGGAGGGGAGTCCGAGGCTGCCTGCCCCGGAGACTGAGCAGAGCTCCATGCTTCCAGAAAACCCACACCCCTCCGGGCCTGCTCCCACAGAAGCGTGTGCCTTCGTGTCCATTCCAGAGGAGCCTTTTGTTCCTGGCTCTGCTCAGAGGTGTTCTCATGTTGTGGAGAAGCAGGTCCTTTACAATGTGCATTAAATGTACCTGTATGTCAAAACCGGTGTGTCTCAGTGGGTAGAGCATCGGCCTACGGACTGAAAGGTCCCGGGGTTCGATTCCGGTCAAGGGCATGTACCTTGGTTGCGGGCACATCCCCAGTAGGAGGTGTGCGGGAGGCAGCTGATCAATGCTTCTCTCTCATCAATGTTTCTAACTCTCTATTCCTCTCTCTTCCTTTCTGTAAAAAATCAATAAACTATATATAATTTTTAAATGTACCTGTAAAACCAGGTACATTTGATGTCCCAGTGGGCATCTGGGAGCCCCTCGGGAAGAGACCATGGTCTCCCAGGTGGCAGGTTGCTGTGTGTGCACCTCTTTACCCTGAAAATGGGTCCAGGAAAAAGACCCTTATGGAAGCTCTCTGCATCCTGGCCAGTCGCCTGCATGAGGGAGCCTCTCACGGAAGTCAAGAGGGTGTGAGGCCCGGCTGGCATGGCTCTGTGGTTGAGCCTTCACCCATAAACTAGGAGGTCATGATGAGAGTGCCAATCAGGGCACATGCCCGGGGTGAGGGCTCGATCCCCAGTGTGTGGGGTGTGCTGGAGGCAGCTGATCCGTGATTCTCATTGTGGATGTTTCTATCCTGGTCTTCCTTCCTCTCTTTGAAAAAAAAGTGAAGAAAAAGGGTGTGAGGTCCAGGCAGCCACAAGTGGGAACAGACCGGACTTGGGGAGCTACCCCACACACCGCTCCTCCTTCACTCCTCCCGCTTCCTGCTGCCCCCACTTCGAGGGCCCGCTTTCCTTATCATCCTCACGGGATGCGCTGGGCACTGCTCTCCGCGGCCCTCCGCGTGTGACCCGCAGAGGAAAATGGAAGAGGGGCTCAGGGCTGGGTGCCAGGCCAAGGCCAGGGCCAAGGTCCTGCACTGGGGCTGACTCTGGCCCTGGCTGCCACTCCCTGTCCTCACAGCCCCCACCCTCCCCTGCACTCTGCCCCCCGAGAAAGAGGCCCATCCCCCGCCCTCCCTGGCCCTGGCGGGAGGCCGCTCACACTCTGACCTGCGCAGGCCGCGAGGATCACGTAAACAATGGCTCTTGGGAGCCAGACCTTCTACTCATCATTTCGTGGGAGGGTTCTGTGCATTTTCTGAGAGCAGGGCCAAAGCCAACAGGCTGGAAATGACTCTTAGAATCTGTTCTCGGTTCACAAGTTCTCAGCGAGGACCCTGTACTGACACATTTTTAATGATTGAGCAGATTGACTCATTCACAGGCAGAAGCTAAATCCTGACCACAGCATGTTAACTTCGACTAAAATAACAGGGAGGAGAGGGGGGGCCCAGCGGCAAGGCTGTTCCCGGGTCCGAGTGCCCGCCGGCCAGAAAGCCAGGGAAGGAGCTCCTGGATGAGGTGCTAGGGAGACGCGGCTCTGCTCTCCCACCTGCCGTGCCCTCCTTTACCTCCTGCCAAGCACCCAAATGCCAACACAAGCGCCGAGACCCCTACATGGCTATGGGGCACGGTCCCACGTCAGGCCCAACACCCCGAGCGAGGGCCGATCATCACTGAGTCTACCTCCGGCCTGCTGGGATGGCTGCTGGGTGAGATCTGAAGACACAGCCCCCCTGTTTCTTTCTCCTGGGAGCTGCCTTAGGATAACAAGTCAATTCTTCAACGTTGTCCGAAAGTCTTTCATCCTCAACGCGCCTTTCCCCTGCAGCCTACTTCCCGGGCTCCTGTTGATCAAACTGTAAAATGTTCTTGGTCTTTCAAGCACCTTTCCAGGTGGTGACTCACGGGCCCGCGAGGGGTTCAGACCTCTCGTTCTCTCATCAGGCCCCAACTAGCTCATGCGGCTCAGGGCCAAGGTGCGGCTGAGGGCGGGGAGAGCGGGGCTCCAGCCTGCAGCCAGCCCGGGGCACCGCGCGCGGGCAGGTGTGAGAGAGAAATGGTTTCCACCGAGGCTGTGCACTCACGTCCCATGATTCATTTGCTTAAACAAAAATCTGGCCCTATTACAGGTGTCCATCCCATAAGAGTGGCTCCCAGTGTGTGTATTACGATGCAATCTGCTTGGTCTCTCGTCTGAAGTTCTATTTCTTAAAACCAAGCAAATCAACACGCAGTACTATCACTGGTCTCAAACGGGGGCACAGATAAGTCATTACTAGCGGAGCTGTTGACGGAGCTTTGTCATCACAGCTCAACAGGCCATTTCTGTGCAGCAGTAACTCGAGAAGACAGTGGGGGCTGATCCAGTTCTGGAGGAAGTTGTGTGGCTCCTGTGCTCCCCACTCAGATCTACAGCAAAATCTTGGAAAACAATAAGCAATACTTGGCAAGAGGCTTTGAGTTCAAGTCTTTGCCGGACTCTAAGAGGACTCCAACCATGTAACAGACCCCAGTTCCCTTTAATAATTATCACTGTATCATGCAACTGACCCAAACGGGCAAATGGAAGTGCTGGCAGCCACCTCCAAATCCCTGCACGTTGACCGCTGAGGTTGCCATGGCGAGCGGGAGGCGTCCGCTCAAGTTCGGTGACGCAGAGGGTCAGGTGGGACGGCCTGCTCGTTACACCCGTGCGAGGTTCCAGATGTGAAGACACCAACTGACCCCCAACCTTCCAGTCTGTTTCCACGCTGCACAGTGGGTCTTATAAACAGCCAGCCTTTATCAAAACGCCTTCCCCCTACTTCCTTGTACTGGAGCTCATAATCTGTCGGAGTGGAATATTCATGAAAACGCATTCCTTCCTTCGCTCAGAAATGTGGGGCATTTTTTTGCCAAGTAATTATTACTTCAAGGATGAATGAAGACTGGGTAGATTTAAGGGATACGGAGCATGAAGTATGAAGGGTTTCTGAGCCCTGGGAAGACTTAACATCCAGAGAAGGCTTCACATCCACAAAAACAGGTGACTCAGCTATTTCCAATGCTGGAAGGTTGGTACTGAGCCACATCCAACAGATGAAGGATTGCAGTGGGGCGGAAACATTCCTATTGGGGGGAAAAGGACCAACTACTTGGTCTTATGTATCCTGTCTTTGGACCTGGTGCTAAGTGAGAGATACAAGTGAGGAACACACTGCAGTAGTGAAGGAGCATATAATCGACCAGAGGAAATGAAAAGCGTCAGAGAGGAGGGCTCACTACACACAGGCCGTGAGTTCCACCACAATGCCCAGCGGCCCTTGTCCTTCAGTTGAGGTCACATGACCAGTTTTACCCAATGGGCTGTGAGCAAACAAAATGGCATTGCTCACTTACAATCCCTGAGGCTTAAGAGCAGCAACCCTGGAGGCCGCGTGTGGAAGAGGCAGAGCCACAAGAGGGAACTGGTGTGGATCCCTGAGCCATGAGCTGGAATGGAGTTGTTCCGGAGAGCCAGGGCCGCAGCAGCGCCGTGTGTGTGTGTGTGTGTGTGTGTGTGTGTGTGTGTGTGTGTGTGTGAAATAAACAAGGATGAGTTAAAGCCGTTGGGACTGGAGGGCATTTAGTTGCCACAACACAGGCTAACTTTTGGCAAATACATAAAACCCACACAGAAGCTAACGGGAGAACAATTTACACCAGACCAGCACCGGGCAGCGGAGGCCGGACTGTAGTCTACTGTTGACCTTCAGACATAGGAGTGGATGCTAATCTTATCGCCTTCACCTGACAGAGCTCGAGTGAGTTGCAAAAGCGCCCTGACTGAGCCCAGACATCCTTTGTGCCCTGGCACCACACACAGAGGCCCCGGGGCAGGCACCGTGCACGTGCTCGGCCAATGGCAGACCTTCTCCCAGCGGCTGCCCGGCTCCGGCCCTGGAGCGGCTCCCGGCCGGGTGTTCGCCGAAGGAGTCAGTGAGGCGTGTGTTGTATCTCAGCCCTCTAATAGGATTCACCCGTTTCCCACATTGCCCACTTTCTGAAGCCAGCCCTAAAACAAGCTATTATTCTCTCCTTCACATTCCCTCTTCTTTGCATTATCCAAAATAATTCAATGTCCACCTTTCCCTTTGGGAAAATCAAAGGTTGACATGGCTGCCTTTTGAGCTCAAGCTGTTCAAGATCCCTTTCTTCTCTTCAAAAAGTTTCTCTGATTTTGAAAGGTCTTATTGATAAAACGCAGACAGAGAAACTCGGGGGAACAGGACAAAGAGAGAGGAGAAGAAAGGGAAAGAATAAAGAGGCCGGGAAAGAAAGAGAAGAAAGAGCAGGCCCAGGAGGAGAGGCGGAAGGCTCCTGAATGTGCGATGGCCGACGGCTAGCGACGGGTTCGTGAGACAATCGTGGGGTGCTATTTTTAAAAAACCAGGGGGAAATATTTACACAAAACCCAAAGAATATTGCTCTTTGTTCCATGCTGGGAAATGACAATGTATTCCATTCGTTAACTCATGAGTTTTCTGCGTGATGCTTACTGCTGGAGTCATTAGCATTTTTGAGCTGAGTATTTTAAGAAAATAAGGGAGGAATTCAGGACCTGAAGATAGAAATGAAGAATAACTTTTTGTTTTGTTTTTGTTACCCCACATGTCCGTCTGGGCAGTATGGGTCCAGCCTGAGTGAGATTAGGGTTGGGGTGAGTGAAATGGGGGACACGAAACCTCCCTAACTCCTCTGGAAACTGAACCCACTGCCTGCCACGTGTGTAGAGAAGTCACATGACTTTCAACAATCCTCTAATCTGTGCTCATCCATGAGTGTCAAAGCAAAGATGCTACTATAAACACATCCCATGTGTAAATGGGGCCTGAATTACAGTCAGCAAGTTCTATGTCCCAATGAGAAGCAGAATCACCCCAAGATTTAGAAACATGACTTACCCGCAGAATTCATTCGGCCACAGTTGTCGACTCTTCCCAGACATTCTTTGTGTGCCCGGGCGCCACACTTGAAGCATAGGTAGCCCTGGTAAAAGGTCCCTCTGCAAGGCGAAGCGGGAGACAGAGGGGTGAGCAGGCGGAGCTCTGCCTTGATGCAATCATTAGTGCGAGAAAAACAGGGGAACACAATGTGTGCCGAAGCCAAGGCAGGAGACCTCCCAGGGCCTGGGGAACCCCAAGTTCAAGGCCCAGGAGGGCTCTGTGGGGTGCACATTGTTAAGATAAGATCCCCATATCCCCACTTCTTCCGGGAACTGGGCTGGGGCGTCAGGGGCCTGCCACGCTCAGCAGTGAGACCGGCTCCCTGAGGCTGGGCCTGGCCGCGAGGAGCTCACCTGAGCAGCATCTGGCAGGCCTTGCAGGAGGTCACCCGGCTGAAGGTGTGCATCTTAAACTCGTGGAAATTGGAGTCGGCATGGTCTGGCCTGATGTTGGATCTGGAGGAAGGGAGAGAAGGAACTTCCTAAAGAAAGTCTCACAGGAAAGGAGCAGTCCAGTCATTGGAAACGTGAGTTCATCAACATCCCGAGGAGTGGAGATCTGATTCGAGCAAAAAAGCTGTTCCTATATCCCTAAACACAATGTTTCTAAGAGCCATGGGTGTTGTTTGCCTTACACATGCACCAAAATCTAACTGTGTCGGAGCCAGCAGCCCATGAGGCGTTAAGGGACCTATCCTCCTTAGAATCGAGTATTCCCGGAAAACTTTCCAGAATAGCCACAGAAGCCAACCTTTTGGGGAAAACACAAAACGAGCCTAACAGTCATTTCTTGCCTCTGGCCACAGCCCTGAGCTATGAACTAGCTGGAGGGGGCGGGGGCGGGGAAGAGGGTCCCTCCACTGAGCCCACCTCCGCACGGGTACTCGGCTGCTGTGAGGGTCTATAAAAGTAAACGAAATCATTTCATGAAACGTTTGGAACAAGGTGCCAGTCTGACCACTAACAACTCCCTCAAGGGCAGCCAAGCAGCGCAGTGAGGGAGGAAGGCAGCTAGTGCAGGCTTAACCAAACACACAAGCAAAACAAAAAGCTTCCTCCTCCACAAACAATTCACTTTCCGTACAATCCAGGTAAAGCTAAACAAATGCTATCATTTATGTGTTTTTTTTAATATATTTTTATTGATTTCAGAGAGGAAGGGACAGGAAGAGAGAGACAGAAACATCAATGATGAGAGAGAGCCATCGATCGGCCTCCTCCTGCATGCCCTCCACTGAGGATCGAGCCCACAACCCAGGCATGTGGCCTGACTGGGAAGCGAACCGTGACCTCCTTGTTCATGAGTTGACACACTGGCCAGACTGTTTTATATTTCATTTGCCCATACACAAAAACACACAATGCCTACTGCCAACTGACACTCACGGTGCGTTTTCTCTTTACGGACACGGTGACCACCGCACGGCGATCATTACTCTGTTTGACCTTCACACCGGTCCTAGCTGGGGGGTACTAATGGCAGCGCTCTCATTTACGACCTAGGACACAGTTGCTTCTGTGAAGGCAAAGAAAATTGCAGGGCCAAGACCTCCAGCCCAAGACTGTGCTTCCCGCCACCAAACCTACTGCTCCAGGCAGTTTCACCTTCATATCCTTCCCCCTGTGTGACCAGTGGGTCCACTGAAACAGCTAAGTCTAGCCGTCTCTAGAGGACTTTTTACATCTTCGCAGTTTATCCAGCTCACAGACCAAGGCAGAAAAATTAGAAAAGGGTCCGTTACATATGGGTACGAATCAGAGCTAGAGCCAAGACGATGCTCTCTGGGGTGTCAAGGCAATTTGGGGGGCTGCAGGGACAGCGTGAGACACCGATGAGCTGGGATGTCCCCTCTCACAGACCCGGCAGCTCCCAGCCCCGTGGAGCCTCGGCCTAAGGGAGCGGAGCGCCGGCGGGCAACCGGGCAGCAGGCTCCGAGGGGCCGGGAGGAGCCTCATGAAAAAACATGCGCCGAGGCGCTCGCTCGGAGCAGCGGGCAGGGGGGCAGCGGGGCCAGAGGTCAGCCCTCCACCCCGTGGGCTGAACGGGAGCGTGCTGCAAATGCAATCGCGCATCGGTGCCACCTGGGATCTCCCCGCTCCGGGCTGCAGGCGACCTCTCTCTGCAGGAAAGGACGCCCGTGCATGCTGAGCAGCTCAGCCCCTCCGCAGAGGCACATCAGAGCCTCCTCCCTCACGGAGGGGAGCAGAGACAAGACGGGAATCTGGAAGCAAAGCCCTCTTCCCATGGTTCAGAAAACACTGGGTTCTCCATTTAAAAAGACATGTTTTTCTTCCTTTTTTAAAAAAAATATATTTTATTGATTTTGTACAGAGAGGAAGGGAGAGAGATAGAGAGTTAGAAACATCGATGAGAGAGAGTCATCGATCAGCTGCCTCTTGCACACCCCCTACTGGGGATATGCCCGCAACCAAGGTACATGCCCTTGCCCAGAATCGAACCCGGGACCTTTCAGTCCCCAAGCCGACACTCTATCCACTGAGCCAAACCGGTTTCAGCAAAAAAGACATGTTTTTTTTCATTGATTTCAGAGAGGAAGGAAGAGAGACTATTGAGAGATAGAAACATGAATGATGAGAGAGAATCATTGATCAGTTGCCTGCTGCACGCCCTCTACTGGGGATGGAGCCTGCAACCCGAGCATGTGCCCTGACCACGGAATCAAACCAGGACCTCCTGCTTCATACATAGGTCAACGATCAACCACTGAGCCACACCAGCCGGGCACCACTTGATTCTTGAGTCCATAAAGTTAGCTGTGAAAAGCGCATCGAACCCCGTGTCCTTGGCCAGGAAGAGCTGGCTGTTCATTCTCTGCGCGCGTTAAGGTAAGAGTCACAGATGAGCTGTCAGATAACACCTGCGGTCCTGGGACCTTGAAAAATTCATCAGCCTGGAGCTTCGGACTCCAAGTAGGTCTCCTTCAGGCAGAAACTCATGCCAGTGGGACCCAAAGAGGGAAGAACTGGATTCATTTTAGAAACCAGTGAAGCCTCTTTCTCTTAGAGTCACTTCAAGTTGACCTTGGACCGTTTCTACTGAACACTTCTGCCAACTAACTAGGAATAAGTTGACTTTTCAGAAGACAAAAAGCCAAGAGGAGAATCGCACGGGGCGGTTAACAAGGAGCGTCTGATAAGAGAGGAAATAATCCGGAAAGTGTCCTTCGGAGTGGTTGGCATGTGGGAGAGGAGACCAGACACGGCAGGTGAGACAGCAGGGGGATGGCTGAAATGCTAGGAAACCCTAACTGCACGTCGCTTTTAACATTTAAAATCAAACGCTAGTGCCGAAACCGGTTTGGCTCAGTGGACAGAGCATCGGCCTGCAGACTGAAAGGTCCCAGGTTCGATTCCCGTCAAGGGCATGTACATTGGTTGCGGGCACATCCCCGGTGTGGGGTGTGCAAGAGGCAGCTGGTCAATGTTTCTCTCTCATCGACGTTTCTAGCTCTCTATCTCTCTCCCTTCCTCTCTGTAAAAAATCAATAAAATATATTTTTAAATTATTTTTAAAAATAAATAAAATAAAACGCTAGAGAGTGAAAGTTAACTCTCTGACCCCCGACGGCTTCTGAGGCACAGCGGAATCTGAAAGCAGAGCTGAGGGCCGGAGGCCGGATTCCTCCTGGGCTGAAGTCCCAACACCTGACCCGGCAGCGTGACCCAGGCACGTGGGCAAGCAGCACCAGGAATACCCATCAACCCCACTCCCGATGGGGGGAAGGCATGAAAGCGCTCAGGACGTGCCCGGGCCTGGTGCTCGGTGAGGACCGGCTAGCACTGGTGAATTGCTGACTCCAAACTCACATGGCAGCGATGCTGTCAGCCTTGTGCTCTGTGAGTGGCCAGGGTCCCACATAAAGCAGGCCGCTCTCCCCCCGCATCCCATGTGTGGGTCGTGTAGGGAGCTGGACCTGTGTTGGCAGTGCTGACAGAAGCAGGACACGGGACAGTGCTCAGAAAAGCTCAGCTGTCATTAGAGGGAACCTTCGAGTCGCCGGTTTGATCCAGAAACATGCAAAAGCAGGCCATGCATGACAAAGCACTAGCAAATCCAACACAGTATTCTTGTTCTGTGGTTGCCTGGAGGGGACCCTTGCCTGTCCTCTCTCTGGTTTTAGCTGATACTTATTTGACATTTTTCTGGCATCCCAAGCAAGCTTATGAGGAAAGCGAAGTCATAGGCAAGAGGGAGGGTGGCCACCTGTCCGCTTCCATCAGCAAATACTAGTCAGCATTGCTCTGGAGCAAAGAAAATGGCTCAGAATGAGTGTGGGTCTCCCCCAGCTTTTATAACAGAGCATTTGATCTACTGTTTTCCTTCTTTTTCTTTTTAATATATGTATATATATATATATTTTATTTCAGAGAAGAAGGGAGAGGAAAAAATAGAAGAGATAGAAACATCAGTGATGAGAATCATTGATTGACTGTCTTCTGCACAACCACCACCCCCCCCTCCCCGCCGCCACTAGGGATGGAGCCCACAACTTGGGCATGTGCCCTGACCAAGAATTGAACTGTGACCTCCTGGTTCATAGGTCGATACTCAACCATTTAGCCACACTGGCCAAGCTTCATTATTCTTTAAGTCATTCCTTGCCTCAGTCCTCTCAGAGAATTAGCATTCAAGGACATAAACATCCTGTCTAAGCACAGCACTATACTTTGGATATTTGTCTCATTAAATCTTCACAAAGCTTAGAAGCGGTCACACAGCTCCCAATGGGCTGGAGAGCCCCCCGACCCCTCACCGCCCAGGCCCCTTTCGGATGCCTCATGGTAAGGCCTGTCTTTCCTAAGCTTTCCTCCAAAGCGTCTCTTGCCCCCGTGGCCAGGAAGGAATAAGACCGATGTTTTATGAAACTGCGTTTTTCTCTCTCCTAACTGGAAACGGCAGGCAGACTTCCTGCCTCTTCCTTCCCTTCCTCTCCCCCAATAGCCAGGGCTCCCCGAAATGAGATGCATCTGTTACCGCGCGGGCCTGCTCCGCGTAGCCTCTGACTAATGACTCGCTGGTGGGAATCAACTCGGGGCTCTGTGCTTTGATAGCGCATTAATAATAGATGCGCATTAAAGCTCCTTCTCGGAGAATAGTTGAGCTCTGACATATCGAACCCTGGCTTTTTAAATTAAAGCGGCTGCTGCGGGTGCATTTTAAAAGCCCCACGGCATGGGGGGAGGGTTGCATGCATAACAAACAGCCCGAGGTCAGGACCAGGAGGCGGGGCCCTCCTGGCCTGTTTAATTGTGGTGAGGGCAGGTCTGTTTCTCAAGGGCCGCGATGACCTGACCACCTTCCAGACGGAGGAGGAGCTGGGCTGTCCTGCGGGCTTTGATTTACTAGAAGAAACGCCACGGAGCAACCTCATGCAGTGTCCGCACGCCACAGAGGCTGGGGATAATGAACTAGGCGCTCCTGGGAGTCCTTCCCG